AGAGAGAGAGAGAGAGAGAGAGAGAGAGAGAGAGAGTGGGAGAGAGAGAAAGAGAGAGAGAGAATTTATGCAGGTTCTCTCAGATGCCAAAAGAAATCTCCTGGAGCTGGATTACCCAGACTGGGTCCCAGGAATCAAACTCAGGTCCTCCGGAAAAACAGCAAGTACTTTTAACCAATGAACCATCTATACAGTACAGAAAGGTTTGTTTTATACCACAGCCTGAAATGAATCCTGGGGACCTGACACCTTCATACACATAAACTTACACAACAACAACAACACTTTGTTCACATTTTCATAATTTTTACAGGCAAAGCAAAATGTGATAACCATACATATTTTTCTTCTTTCTTTCTAGCTTTGCTGGTTTTGTATTGCTGCCATCCGTGGGCCATCTTTTTCTAAAACAGAAGAATTGCACATTCAGATGAGAGATGTTCCCTCTGTGTATGGAATAGTTAAAAAGCAATCATATAATGAAATGCATTGTGGGCATAATGTGCCTGTGTTTTCTTATGATGGTGTATTTTCCTGTGATGTCCCTGTGTTGATGTGCCACTTATATACATTAAAAATGATATAAGTGACCATTCAGAGTGATCATCTTTCTCTCATAATGATACTGAGAAGTGCCTTTCTGTTGAAAAGGGTGCTATCATCTCTATGCTGAATTTTTAAGTGGATCTTTTATTTCAGTGTGTAATGAAGGGGAGTTGATGGAGCGCTTTCTTCACAGTCTTCTCTCTCTCTTGTGAGTTCTCCTTTGTTTTGATAACTTAGGGACTCCCAAGTACTCAAAGATCATCTCCACAGCGAGAGGGATCTGATTAGCCAATGCAATTTTTAACAAAGACTTCCACAAACCACAGACTCACTTCAGACACACTTGAGAGAAAGAGCCTTGATTTTGTACTACAGAGATAAGTGGTGGAGAGATGAGAATAGGAGAATCACCCAGAATATTGTGGCCATCTAGCCAGAAGTATGCAGTGCAGGGGTTCTAGGTTAAGAAAAAAAAATATATATATATACATATATATATATATATGTGTGTGTGTGTGTGTGTGTGTGTGTGTGTATTCACAGACACACTCAAATGCATATGAAAACACACACACACACACACACACACACACACACACACACACTCAGTGTCAATAGAGTTCTTAATTGGTCTAAGTAATAAAAACCAGGAAAATGCTGAGAGATCAGAGAGAAGAAGGAAGCCACAGCACACCTTATCTCCTAAGCGTCTCAGCAGACAAGAGAGCAAGTTCTTGTTTCTCCCTGCTTATGTCCTGTTTCTGGCTAACTACCTCATTTCCTGTCTGTCTGTACAGACTTCCAGACCTCTATGGTTAGCAAGTGGCAAGGTCCATTCTCTGACCTTCAGACAGGCTTTATTTGTACAAGCAAGATATCACTACAACTCAGAATCTCACTTAGGCCTTACCTCCTCTGAGGAGTGGATGGGAGTGGGAAGAGAGAAGGTGGGGGTAGGAGAATGGGAGGGAGAAGGAACTATGGTTAGTATGTAAAATGAAAAAAAATTAAATAAAAAGACAGTTAAAAAATTCACATACACAATGGCCCACCCTCCCACACTGTCACACAAAATTCCACACTCACTTCTTTTTGTTGTTGTCTGTTCCTCTGATATTATATTATGTCCATCACATCTGATCACAAAGCCTGGCTGTGGCCATCAGAATGACTTTCATATTGGTCCACAGTCCACATCATCTTTCCAGTTAGAATGAAGTGTGGACATAAAACCCCACTTCAACTCCATAAGATGTCCATGGTCCCATGAGACCTGCTATACTCAGCAGTCACCCCTGGACTTCTGCTCTCTGCCCTTTCCAGGACCTTTCCTCAGAGTTATGGATCTCATGAAACAACATATTATCGAGTACGACAAATTTGGTTGATTCAGTGACATATTGTGAAATGAAGAATGGCAATTTTTCTGATGGAATTGCTTTTACATTCCCATCTTCCATCGTGTAGGCATTTCTTAAGTTTCTGTTCACACATGGCAAATGACCTAACAACACTAATTAAAATTATAAGAGGTATTTTTTGTTTTCTTATGTGTGTTATGTACATTACACACTTAAGCTGAGAACCTACAAAGAGGAAGAAAGAATACTCTCATGTCTGGAATGACTCACTTTGAATCCTTGAATGTTTGAAATGTCTTACAGATATTAAGCAGATTCATCCTTTAGTTAAGAAAAAGGCAAACACTTTAAAAACATGTTTGTTAGGCATCACCTGGAAAAGGTCACTGACCAAGATTATGTTATCCTTCTCTTTTTTTTTCTTACTGCACTATGTATTAAGCTGTTCTTGGTTGCACAGTCTTATTTTTATTCTTTTTTTATTAGAAAGAAAATTATTTTACATGTGAATCCCAGGTCCCTCTCCCTCCCCTCCTCTCCTGCCCCCCAACTAATGCCCTACCTATCCCATACTGTTTCTGCTCCCCAGGGAGGGTGAGGCCTTCCAAAGGAGGTCTTCAATGTCTGTCATATTCTTTGGGATAGGGCCTAGGCCAACCTCCATGTGGGATGGGCTCCTAAAGTCCATTCCTATGGTAGCGATAAGGACTGATCTATTACAAAAGGCCCCATAGATTTCCAAGGTCTCCTCACTGACACCCACATTCAGGGGGTCTGGATCAGTCCCATGCTGGTTTCCCAGCTATCAGTCTGGGGACCATGAGTTCTCCCTTGTTCAGGTCAGCTGTTTCTTTGGGTTTCACCAGCCTGGTATAGGCCCCTTTGCTCATCAGTCCTGCTTCTCTGCATCTGGATTTCAGTTCAGTTCAAGGTTTAGCTGTTGGTATCTGCTTCTACTTCCACCAGGGGCTGGATGAAGGCTATACAATGACATATGAATTACTCATCAATCTCATTATCAGGAGAGGGCATTTAAGGTAGCCTCTCCTCTGTTGCATAGATTGTTAGTTGGTGTCATCTTTGTAGCTCTCCAGACATTTCCCTAGTGCCTGATTTCTCTTTGAACTTATAATGTCTCCCTCTATTATATTATCTCTTATCTTGCCCTCTTCTATTCTTCCCCCAACTCAACCTCCCTATCCCATCATGTCTTCCCCACCCCTCCTCTTCTCCCTTCTCATTCTCCTAGTTTTCTCTCCCTCCCCCATGCTCCCAATTTGTTCAGGAGATCTTGTTCCTTTCCCCTTCTCCAGGGGATCATGTATGTCTATCTTAGGGTCCTCCTTGTTTACCAGCCTCTCCGGTAGCCTGGGCTGCAGGCTGGCAATCCTTTACTCTATGTCTAAAATCCACATATGTGTGAGTACATACAATGCCTATCTTTTTCTGACTGGGCTACCTCACTCAGAATGGTTTTTTCTAGTTCCATCCATTTGCCTGTGAATTTCAAGATTCCAATATTGCCTTTTTTTTCTGCTGAGTAGTACTCTGTTGTGTAAATGTACCACTTTTTTTCTCAGCATTCTTCAGTTGAGGGGCATCTTGGTTGTTTCCAGGTTCTGGCTATTACAAATAATGCAACTATGAACATAGTTGAACAGATAGATGTTCTTGTTGTAGGAATGTGCTTCTTTTGGGTGTATGCCTAAGAGTGGAATCGCTAGATCTTGTGGTGGACTGATTCCCATTTTCCTGAGTAATCACCATACAGGTTTCCAAAGTGGCTTACCAGTTGGCACTCCCACCAGCAGTGGGAGGAGTGTTCCCCTTTCTCCACAACCTCTCCAGCATAAACTGTCATTGGTGTTTTTTATTTAAGCCATTCTGACAGGTGTAAGATGCTATCTCAGAGTTGTTTTGATTTGCATTTCCCTGATGGCTAAGGATGTTGAATACTACAGTCTTGAATTAGTGATCTTCCTGCTTTAGCCTCCCTAGTAGCTAAGAATATCCATATACTACCACATCATCTACTTTATGTTTCCTATTGTCTCCAAAATAAACTACAACAAATTCAGTGATTTCAAACAACATAAATACATTGTCTTGTTTTTCAAGAGGGGAGACATTATAAATAAGTTTTTAAAAAATCATTTGATTATTTTTACATTTTTCTTCTGAAAAATGTTGAAGGTCACTCATTTACTTATGATATCTGGCTTCCAGAGGCTTCCCCATTCCTTTCTGGTGACTTCCTCCCATGTCCAAGCCCAACAACATAGCATCTTTTTCACAGACCTCTGCCGTGATAATACAGTTTAAACATAACAACAGCCCACACATGACCATGAGTTTGACTATTTGGTATTCAAAAGGTGTCACTGTTGTAAGCAGTTTTGCCACGTGTGAAACTGTGGCTCAGCTAACATAAATGGGTCACCTGGGGCAGGCCTTGTATATGACATTGACTTCTGCATCTGATCTGATTCCTCATCTACCAAGATGTAAATAAATCACACTATAAGCTCCCGATGTAAAGGCATAACTGACCTCAGTGTCATGACTTCCCTCCTATCATAGATCTTGTTCCCTAAAACTCTAAGCCAAAATAATTTTCCTATAATTAAGTTAATTCTCTGAGGCATTTTGTCACATCAAATAGAAAAGTGACTAATATTCTACATCCTCACATCTGACTCCTCTTATACTTTTACTTCCTGTCTTCCTCACGTGATGACCCTGATGATTCTGTTAAACCTACTGTGAAAATCCACCATTGTGTCCCAATCTCTAGACTTTTTACTTAATTACATATGAAACATGCATTTTACTCACCTTTGGGTAACTAGGGCAGATCACCCATAAGTTAGAACTCTGCCTACAATTATCAATAACCAATAACTGAATTTTTTTCACTTGTCAATAACTTTTTACTCAAATCCAAAAACAATAGCAAGGGTTGTAACTCTGTTGTCAGGGCCTTTGGTTTAATCTCCAGCATTGCATGAACAGGGCCTAGTGGCAGATACCTACAATTCTAGCAATTGGGAGGTAGAAACAAGAGGTCTAGAAGTTCAAGGTCATCCTTCATTACATAGGGTATTTGAGACCAGTCTAGGCTACATGAGACCTTGTCTAAGAGAACAATTATAGAATTTGGATGGGTGGTAAGAAATGAGATGCTGTCAGGTTATGGTCTCTAGGAAATTTGAGACCAGTCTGGGCTACATGAGAGCTTGCCTTGCCTCAAAGAAACACTTATTAAGTTTAGATGGGTCCAAAGAAATGACACACTGCTGAGTTATGATCCCTACATAAAGCAAATGACAAGGTAGATCAATAAAAGTGAAGCATACTTGAATAGTGAGCCCTTCTGATGGTTCTGGCATGAATGGGTCAGGCTCTTAGTGGTCTCTTGAAGGAATTCAAGGTACCTATAGGGTAAGATTAGGAGACCTCTTGAGCCCAGTTTTATACTTCATGATTCCTGCTCTTGAATAAATTCTTAGCAGTAAATTAAGTTTTTGCCCTCTGTTGAATTTGTTAAGGACTTGTGACAGTGTGTAGAATAGAGCCCAGCACAAGAACATCAAGGATAAGCTAAAAGAGATGTGACCACAGAAGTGGATCTTTTCTGCCTCTGAAAGA